CCACTTGAGGCTGTGCTTTACAGTGATTTTATCACAGGGAAGGGTGTTGTTAGGCACAGCATAAAGTGGAGTAAAACTCCCCTCCCTGTGATAAAATCACTATAACGCACAACCTTGAGTGGCTTATTGCTTTTTTAAACGGCGACCAACATAAAATATGATAAAATACACAATTATTCAGAAAACAATTAAAGTTATTATTAATAATAATTGACATAAACAAGTATTCCACCAAGAAATGTTGTTCCTTTAGAGTATGGTATCGTTGTCATGCAAACATGGACCACTGAACGAGGTGAACGTTCGGTCGTCCATCACTGTAGACTGCGGCCAATTCATGAACTTTTTAAACTTTTTATTGTATAACAATGAACATATGGTCATTCTGGTCACCAAATCACCACCGTGACTCTTATTTAGCACCAATCCAGCGGCACCCTCTTCTCACACTGGGGCTGAGTCTCAAACGGCTCCCTGCTCCCTACATAGTGCACTACGTAGGAGTTTAAATACTGGATCCTGCAGCCCAACAGAGCAGAATACAGCTAAGAAACAGTCATTTGGGACTCAGACACACCCACACTCGATACATGATGCACTGTTTGGCTGTAGAGGCTAGAACTTCTAGACTTTCATAGCTAGAACACTATTTAGGGAGTACAGAGCCGTTTGGGGTTCAGTCTGGGTTTGACGCGACTTTTGACTGAAACACGAACATTTGAAGTGTGTAAAACATTCAGGTGACATTTTTAGTCTTTTATACTGCAGTTTTACAGTAAATTTACAGTAAATCACAATGTGAGCAGCATTAGAGTCAAAGACTATTCATTAACAGTAGGAGGGTTTTTCGTGAGGTGGTGCAGTGATAGAGTTCAGTTATTGTGAGGTGCCATAGCCGTGGTATATCGTGGATTTTACAATGGCATCAAACGCGGCTCAGCCAATTAGATTTTAGCACCAGAGCTATTCATTTTATAACAGGCATTAAGCTATTAGTCAGAAATGAGTGATTCTAATCTTATCTAAGCCATTTATTCACTACTGTACAAAACAGCCCATTTAATATAATGGAATTATTTTAATTGATGCCAACAAATTACACAACGAAGAGGGTTTGATTCAAGTTAAACTGCCAAATTCAAGATCAAGCTGAATGTGTAAAAGTGGAGCACTGCCAGCTCAGTGGACACTTAGAACTGGGCAGTTTGAGTTAATATGACTCATTGTAGAAGTGTTGGATCACTGAAAATTAGAAAGTAACTATAACTTTTGTAAAGTTATTTAAGCTTGAACCTGTTAATTAACTTTTTGGTTTGCATAATTTTTTTTAAAAGTAAAGTCATCTAATTTGAGTTTACAGTGTGGTAAAAGCAAAATACGACAAAAGTCAACTTCATTAAAGGCCTCACTAAGCAGCTTCGACTGCTGTGTGCACTTTCTTTACTTGAAAGTTCTTCAAGGTGTTCCTGACTGTCTGAACAGAGTGTGAACAGTGGTTATAGCAGCTAAGTGAGTTTTTTTAAGATATTGTTTATTTAGGGTTTATATATCATTATTGTCAGAACATTGTTGTCAGGGGTCGCCATGACTACAACACAAATATAGACATTTTATTTAAATTGTTTATCCAGAACCACCAGTGAACCTACATGAGTCTTCTGAGTTTAGATGGAATGTTGATGATGGAAAATCTGAAATAATAAGTTTTCTTTGGGGACTATTTTGCCTCACAGCGCCCTGCATGTATCCCTCCACCATGAATGGAGTTTAAGTTCTCTAAACTATCATAAAACAGTGTCTCAGTCATCAGGCAGTGAATTCATAACCATTTCATGTAGGAACTTTCTGTGAGGGAGCTTTTAGAGGTGGACGTCTGGTTCCTATCTCCACCACTGTGAACAGTTCTGTTTCTCTACAGCAGAGCATTTCACACCAAACCACTTTGAACGACTTTGTTTACATATTAACAATTAAATTAGGCAGAAATTTTATAAAATCTTCCCCCTTTAACTTCCATTAAAAGTTGAGAACATTTTTTACTTCTACTGAAAAGCTGCAGATATTTTAATTAATGTCACACAATTTTATTTTACCAAAACTTTTGACAGGCAGCATATATATATATATGTTTTTTCACTTTCCTCCTAATGTAGCAGCTGAATTTATAGCAGCTCTCTCCTCTGTGATATGATGATATGACAGCCATCAGCAGGCTGCGAGGCTGTGAGGCTGAAGGCGGCTCGTGGCTGCTCTGATGTGCGTGAAGCCTGGGTGTACTTTGCATTGCTAAGGAGATTTCTGACCGCAGGGTTCTTGAGGAACAGGTGCTGGAATTAAAGAAGCGAGTGAAAACGAGTTTGCGAGGAAGAAAACCCCGAGATTTCAACAAGCTGGCAGAACATGCCTCGGTGAACCGTGGTGACATAGATGTGTTCTCTTTAGTCTCACAAAACGTGCTCTGATTCTTTCACTAGTACTCTCACTCTTCTCCCTTTCTCCCTCTCCTTTCTCTCTCTCTCTACATCCTCCATGTCCCCTTGTTTCCTTGCTGTCTGATTGTTACACTCATTATTTTAATATTAATGCCTAATTAACCCCGTTTTTTACTGCCCTATCCCCTGAGTAATTGAACGAGGAAGGAGATTATTGTGAATTATTAATACGTTTTTCCTCATTTCATTTCATTTTTGAAAATGCCTGCATGTCAAGGACGTCAAGAGAGAAAAGTCTTTATTTCCTCATATATCAACAGTAACAAGGAGCTCATTCTGCTGTGACACTTTGGGTGGAGTGTGTTTTTTGGTCTGTACTGTGTGCTTGGCTTTGCTCGTACAGCAGGGCTGTTTGTCCTCGGGGGCTTTATCATGTGCTGCCAGCTAGCTGAAGTCCTGGAGGGAGGAGTAATGGACCAGCTCACTGAACCCTGTCGTGGGACATGACAGTCTGCTGCGCCGGGATTGACCGCTCAGGTCTAAAGTGCTGAAAGTTTCCCCCTGGGGTACTTTAGTCAAGTCAGTGATTCCCAGATCTGGTCCAGGAATATCACTGGTCTGCATATTTTGGTCTTTTTCTACTTTATTATCCAAATGATCAGCTAATCAACAAGCTTTTCCTGAGTTGAAGTGGGTCTATTACAGCAGAGGAAGACTAAAACATGCTGGACAGAGGAACCACAGGACCATCACTGAACAAACTGAATAGGAGCAGTAAGGTATTCTTGACTGAACAGAGAGTATGTATACACTCGAGTGAATGTGGTACTGGGATACTGATATGAAAGGGTACTTCTGAATGAATGGGGTAACCGAGTGCTCTCAGATATGTAGAAGTAGTGGGGTAGTCCTAAATAAGTTGGATAATAGAGTACTCCTGAATGAATGGGTAGAGGGGTAGTCCTGAATGAATAGAGTAGAGGGGTAGTCCTGAATGAATGGAGTAGTTGCATGCTCTCAAATATATAGAGGTAGTGGGGCAGTCCAGAAATACTCTTGAATGAGTGGGGTAATGGGGAGCTCTTGAATGAGTGGGGCAGTAGAGTAGTCCTGAATGAGTGGGGTAAGGGGGTACTCCTGAATGAGTGGGGTAATGGGGTACTCCTGATTGAGTGGAATAATGGGACACTCCTGAATGAGTGGTGTAATGGGGTACTCCTGAATGAGTGCAGTAATGGGGTACTCCTGAATGAGTGGGGTAAGGGGGTACTCCTGAATGAGTGGGGTAATGGGGTGCTCCTGAATGAGTGGAGTAATGGGTAACTCCTGAATGAGTGGGTTAATGGGGCACTCTTGAATGAGTGGAGTAATGGGGTACTCCTAAATGAGTGGAGTAATGGGGCACTCTTGAATGAGTGGGGTAATGGGGTACTCTTGAATGAGTGGAGTAATGGGGTACTCCTGAATGAGTGGGGTAATGGGGTACTCTTGAATGAGTGGAGTAATGGGGTACTCCTGAATGAGTGGGGTAATGGGGTACTCTTGAATGAGTGGAGTAATGGGGTACTCCTAAATGAGTGGAGTAATGGGGCACTCTTGAATGAGTGGAGTAATGGGGAACTCCTGAATGAGTGGGGTAATGGGGAACTCCTGAATGAGTGGGGTAATGGGGCACTCTTGAATGAGTGGAGTAATGGGGTACTCCTGAATGAGTGGGGTAATGGGGTACTCTTGAATGAGTGGAGTAATGGGGTACTCCTGAATGAGTGGGGTAATGGGGTACTCTTGAATGAGTGGAGTAATGGGGTACTCATGAATGAGTGGAGTAATGGGGAACTCCTGAATGAGTGGGGTAATGGGGCACTCTTGAATGAGTGGAGTAATGGGGTACTCCTGAATGAGTGGGGTAATGAGGTACTCCTGAATGAGTGGGGTAATGGGGTACTCCTGAATGAGTGGGGTAATGGGGTACTCCTGAATGAGTGGGGTAATGAGGTACTCCTGAATGAGTGGGGTAATGGGGTACTCCTGAATGAGTGGGGTAATGGGGTACTCCTGAATGAGTGGGGTAATGGGGTACTCCTGAATGAGTGGTTTAATAGGGTACTCCTGAATGAGTGGGGTAATGGGGTACTCCTGAATGAGTGGTTTAATAGGGTACTCCTGAATGAGTGGTGTAATGGGTGCTCTCGATTGTACAGAAGTAGATTTATATTGAAAGAGAATTGAGATACACTTTTACACTTATTTTAGGAAGTGTCTAGAGACCACATTAAAGGCTATTCCCTTGACCCACAACTTGTGCTGCTCTGTGCATTACTGAGCTCAGCTAACTGTGTCTGAGTTTGGAGAGCAGTGAGAGTGCACTGAGCCAGAGCCAAATACAGGCAGTGTGCTGAAATGAGCCGAGACACAGGGGTGGATGGAATAACCAATATAGACCAACTCTGCACTCCGCCTTCTGTTGTTATCCTTGTTTTCTCTGCAGTGTTTAGAGGTTTAAAGTTGGTTTATTTGACTTTTTTGACTCACTGTGTTCCGTTGCCTTTGTGATATGTGTCCAGGGAGTAAGCTGTGGTGGGCGGACGATGTGCTAGCCCAGGTGGGCACCATGAACAAGAGAGACGGAAAGAACGTGGAAGTATTGAGAACCAAGACCACAGGGGTGGTCCAGATCAGAATCTATGACAAAGATGGCCAAAAAGGTAATGTGTATGTGTGTGAGTATTGGCAAAACAAAAAATGATAATGTTCTCAGATGCTCTTCATTAATTACTTGATTTTAACCAAGAAATGAGTACCTTGGAGCAGGACACTCAAGTCTGAGCTGCCCTACAGTGCACTGGTATGGAGTTTCTGGGATATGAACACCCCAACATCCTGTGAAACTAAACTATTTTATATGAATGCTCTAAATGGCTATTCATGGATTTAAATGTACCTCAGTGATAAAATCATAAAGCTCAGCCTTTTACATGTTACTCATAAAATGTTAAATATTAATTATGGGCAGTGATTGTGCAAAAATGAGAAAAGGTCAACAAATTTATCAGCAGTAAATTCTGCATGTTTACCAACTGCTTTCTTTCAAATGGACCTGTCACACAAAAGGCTGTGGCATCACCTGGGATCAAAGTTCCACTCTGTAGCTCTACAGTTACAGACTGTAGTCCATCTGTTTCTCTGCATACTTTGTTAACCTGTTCTTCAGTGGTCAGGACCCCCATGGACCCTCACAGAGCAGGTACTATTTGGGTGGTGGGTCATTCTCAGCACTGCAGTAACACTGACGTGGTGATGGTGTGTTAGTGCGTGTTGCACTGGTGCAAGTGGATCAGACACAGCAGTGCTGCTGGAGTTTTTAAACACCTCAGTGTCACTGCTGGACTGAGAACCAAAAATATCCAGCCAGAGCGTCCTGCGGGCAGAGTCCTGTGACCACTGATGAAGAACTAGAGTACGACCAAAACAAACTGTGCAGCAGCAGATGGGCTGTCGTCTCTGACCTTACATCTACATGGTGGACCAACAAGGTAGGAGTGTCTAATAGAGTGGACAGTGAGTGGACACAGTGTTTGAAAACTCCAGCAGCACTGCTGTGTCTGGCTGCCAATCAATGTGAGTAGCAAGAGTGAACAAAGTATGATAGACAATGTGAAAAAGAAAACTGAAAGCTGGTTGCTGAAGCTCTGCCTGTCATCTTTTTCATCATTATTAACAGGACGGCAGTGCGAGTGAGAGGAAGCAGCGGAGTGTGTTTTGCTGCCGGTTGAGTTTTAAAGGGTAAACACTGCCCGCTCCTGTCCTTCAGCGAGCTTCCGGCTGAGAGGCATTCATATCAGAGACAGGTTCATTAGCTTTGCTGTGCAGAATCCTTTCAGGGCTCCATTAGGATAAAAAAATGACAATTAAGGAGTCTTTAAGGTAAATCTTTCTGCTACCTCTTCAGACCTCAGCCTTCAGGCTGCAATCCAATTAGCTGTGCCATTTATCTCTATGACAGAGAACACAGGGGAGTCGTGGGACTCGCTCATTACGGTATTTCACAGGGGCTAACGGGGCGTCTCTGACAAGGTGTCCAAGAACAAAGTCCACCTGCTGCCTTTATCCTAAGTGTGTGTGTGTGTAACCTGCACTTAAAGTGGTCTCAGGTGTGTGCAGCCTTATGTAATGCATCAGTGAACCCAACCAAAGTGGGAGGAAGGCTGGCTGCAGGCGCTTCAGTGTTGGTTCTGCGACGGAGATGGTAATGTGGCACAAAGTAACCTGTTGCAGTAATGTAATAATTACTTTTTCCTGTAATAAAAGATTTGTAACACATTACATTACATTCCCAGGCTTATTACAAACTTATTATTCAGTAACTACATGGACAGGCAATGCAAAGCAACTGAGTTTTTCTTAGGTTAAAGAAGGTGAGGTAAAGCTTTGGACCTGCCGGGAGGTCCACCAAGTGCCCAGTAGTCACTAACTGAAAAATTACATTACAGGGTTGTACATAAACCTTTTGAGCACTTAGCACTGGTGCTGTAAAAGTAGCACAAATGAATTCTTTTTAGCACTGAAATAAAAACGCTTCTAAAAAGCGTTAATCCATTGCTGTCCAAAGAAAAACAAGCACTTGGTCATTTCTACACAACGTTTACGGCATTTAACAGACGCTCTTATCCAGAGCGACTTACGATTTGATTTCATTTTAAACAGGTAGGTAAAGGTAGCGTTAGGAGTCTTGCCCAAGGACCCTTATTGGTATAGTGTAGGGTGCTTGCCCAGGTGGGGCTTGAACCCCAGGCTACAGTGTAGAAGGCAGAGGTGTTACCCTTTACACTATACCAACCACGTTATGCCAAACACAATATGAAGGGCAGCAGCTGTGCTCAAATGGTGTAGAACAAATAGATTTTTTTTTAGACAGTCACGAATCTCAATTGTCCTTATTCAGCAAAGTTCAAAGTCAAATCAGATCATCGAATCAGATTTCACCGACAGTTTTATTATTCATCAATTTCATCCTTGGTGTATCTTTACTATCAAGCTGAAGTGTTAAGAATGCCAGTATTTCTGAGGTTAATAATCATCCATTAGGCAACAGCGGAAATAGTTTTACTCACTGGTTACAATGATGTAAGTCTGCATATATCACAAATTTAATAACCCTGTAGTCTTGAGTAAGAGTTATTCTGCCTGTCCCAGCATATATCACGATTAGTTCATTAGCAACACCCTATTAACCATGTAGGATATCATAATCAACCACCTAGCAACTCCCTAGCAAACACCTGGGATACCATAGCAACCATCTGGCTACACCCTAGCAAACACCTGGGGTACCATAGCAACCGTCTGGCAACACCCTAGCAAACACCAGGGGTACCATAGCAACTATCTAGCAACCCCCCGGCAAACACCTGGGATACCATAGCAACCATCTAGCAACATCATAGCAAACACCTGGGATACCATAGCAACCATCTAGCAACCCCCTAACAAATACCTGGGATACCATAGCAACCATCTGGCAACCCCCTAGCAAACACCTGGGATACCATAGCAACCATCTGGCAACCCCCTAGCAAACACCTGGGATACCACAGCAACCATCTAGCAACCCCCTAGCAAACACCTGGGATACCATAGCAACTATCTAGCAACCCCCTAGCAAGCTCCTGGGATACCATAGCAACCATCAAGCAACCCCCTAGCAAACACCTGGGATACCATAGCAACTATCTAGGAACCCCCTAGCAAACACCTGGGATACCATAGCAACCTTCTGGCAACCCCTAGCAAACACCTGGGATACCATAGCAACCCCCTGGCAAACACCTGGGAGACCATAGCAACTATCTAGCGACACCCTAGCAAACACCTGGGACACCACAGCAACCATCTAGCAACACCCTAGCAAACAATTGGGACACCAAAGCAACCATCTGGCCACCCCCTGGCAAACAACCCGGGTTACCATAGCAACCATCTAGCAACCCCCTAGCAGACACCTGGGATAGCAACTGCTTTGAAATGCCTTACCAACCACCTGGGAGAACGCAGCAACCACCTAGCAACTCCCTAGCAACCGTTCTGGCTTAAGCTGCACACTCACTCTGCATAGACTTTTCTAATTTAAACTGCAATACTGTTTTTTTACTGACCCCAACACTGGTGTTCCGTATGTTCAGGTGAGAACGTTTGTATGGTGAATAACGGTGGATGTTCTCAGCTGTGCCTGCCCACCTCGGAGAACACACGCATCTGCTCATGCACGACAGGCTACAGCCTCCGCACCGACCGCTCCACCTGCCAAGGTAAAAGAGCCTCAGCTAATTAATGATCTGTTTACTTAATTATCTTCACACAGTCGCCCTGGGTAAAGATGGGTTCAAAGAAATGTTGTGAAAAATGTCTGTGGTTAATTAGCTCCATCTTACGCTGACAGAATTTTCAACAAAACTATGTGTCACAGTTATTGGCACACCTGCATTTACTGCTTTGTTCAGCCTCCTTTTGCCAACATAACAGCAATGATGTTTCTTGATGACAGCAAAGAATCTGAGACCACTCTGAAATACAGAATCCCTCCAGATCCTACAGGGTCTCTTTGACCTTCCTTCTCTCGGGTTGTCAATGGGTTTAGATCAGAAGTAAAGCTTGTGGTCACTGAACCATTTCTGGTGTGGATTTGGGTGTATGTTTTGGATCATTGTCTTCTTAGAAGATCCAGCCTCAACCTGGGTTTAGTTTTTCAGTAGAGGTAGCCAGATTTTTAATCACAATCTCCTGGTACTTCATGGAGTCCATAGTGCATCCTACCAAGGTTCCCAGGGCCCAGGGAAAAACGACCCCCAAACATTGCAGTGTGGGTCTTCTTTTCTTGTGCAAACCCATCTTCTTCAGCTGACCAGAGAACCTGATTCCAGTCAGAGTTCCAGTAGCTTCTGGTGAACTTCAGGTGCTAACATTTACGGATATAGAAGGCTTTCATCTGGCACACCTTCCAAATAGTTCATTGTCGTGGAAGTGATGCCTAATTGTAGTTTTGGAGAATTGGTGACCCCCTTAAATTCTCACCTCTTCTGCAAATCTCTAATCATGGCTCCTTTTGCATCTCTAACTGTGCATCGGAGTAAAAGAATATACAGTTGAATATATCAACATAAACATAGCTTTTATTCCAGGCAGGTTCACTACGGCTCTGGTTGTTTTACACTTCTTAATTATCTCCCTAACAGTAAATATAGGCATTGTCAGGCATGTAGGTATATGGTAAGGTCTGACAATATTAGACATGTGGTTTTGTCAAAGAAAGTGTAACGAAATTAACCACAGACGTGTTTTCACAACCTATTTTTCTCCGCTTTACCAGAGTGGCAATAATTTCAGGGCTGACTGTGAAGATGTATTGGCAATGCTTTATTCTGATGGTCCACTGTAGATGCCCAGCAGACACTTACCTGCCTTTAATTTACAGCCAAATAAAAATGTGATCAATTTCTAAAAACTGATGGATTCAGAAGCACAACTCGATAAATCACGTGTGTATACTTGATCAGGTCTGTAGTATGTGGCTGTGTGTTTGCTAGGAGTGGGATCGTTCTTGTTGTACTCGACTCACGAGGGGATTCGGGGGATTGCGTTGGACCTCAGCGATAACTCAGACGCTCTGATGCCCTTGACGGGGACGCTGTCTGTGGCGGGTCTGGACTACCACGCAGGTGAGCAGGTGGACCACAGTGTGATAATATAAAATCATGAACACTCAAAGAAGCCTTTGCATGATTAAAGGGTTCTTTGCATGGTGAAAGGTTCAAACTGATGGAGAATGTACTATTGTTGGCTCTTTATAGAACCTATATAGCACCAAAACGGGTTCTTCTGTTGTTACGATTTCAAGCTTGTTACTATAGAAAAACCCTTTTTGGTGCTACACTCTTAAAAAGATGGTTCTTCAAGGTTTCTTTCATAAACAGAATGGTTCTGAACACTTAACCATTTGCATGATTAAAGGGCTCTTCCCATCATGAAATGGTTCTTCAGGTTGATAGAGAATGTGTTGTATATGGTTCTTTTTGAAAATGGTTCCATATAGCACCAAAAAGCGTTCTTCTATTGTTACAATATCAAGCTTGTTACCATAGAATGCTTTTTGGTGCTACGCTCTTAAAGATGGTTCTTCAAGGCTTCTTTCGTAAAGAAATTAGTCCATGGTTCAGGAAACATTCAAAGAAGCCTGGTTATTTAAGGGTTCTGTATAGCACCAAAAAGAGTTCCACTTTTGTTACAAGCCAAATAACCTTTTTTGGTACTAAATAGAACCCTTTTTTTCAAAAAAAGGTTCTATATGGAACCATATACAACACATTCTTCATCAATCTGAAGAATCCTTTTACCATTTAAAGAGCGCTTTAATCAAGCAGATGGTTCTTTGAGTGTTCATGGTTCTATAAAGAGCCATTCTCTTTACTAATGAACCCTTAAAGAACCATCTTCTTTAAGAATGCAGGCCACATAATGACTTCAGAGACACATCATGAACCTAAAAAAAGAAGGGAAGTTGAAGCTTCTAACAGGTACAGGTTCACATTAAGTTGACGGTGATGAATAAAATTCATCTTCGGTTGATAAAGTGCAGACCTGTCCATCCTGCCTTCCACCCAGTGACTGCTGGGATAGGCTCCAGCGGTTAGGCAGGATAGGCAGCTTAGAAGATGATGATGCAAAATGTAAAAGCTAGAAAATGCTAATGCTATTAGCATGTATGCTAGCACTATTCCATTTTGTAAGTCAGGAATTACCAGTTGGCCCCCAGTCTGGGCACAGAAGCTTCGCTGAGTGTCGGAGTCAGTATTGCTCTGGAAGCTGAGGCGGTGTTTGTTTGAGCTGATGAGTCTGAGGTTTCTGCTCTGGTTAAATCCTCATCTTTCTCTGAGCTGCACTCGGAGAGCCTCGCGCTGTCATTAGAGCCACTACGTCCAGAGGAAGCCGTGTGATTAAGGATTTAAAAGGCTCGCATCTCTCGCTGCAGACAGGAGCACGTACACTTCAAACTTCTAAGCCGATGTCATTTTTTGGGAGATGCTCATATACGGTAATTGGACAGCTTTGCTGAGCAGCTGTAGTGGGACAGAATTGTGTTGAGCAGAAAAGGGACAGCAGGACAAAACTATTATCATCATTACGCATAATGAGCAATGGATAAATGAATCCTACATACATTTCCTGGCCACTTTATTAGAAACACCTACCTTGTACTTGCACTAACTGGCCACTTTATTAGAAACACCTACCTTGTACTTGCACTATCTGGCCACTTTATTAGAAACACCTACCTTGTACTTGCACTAACTGGCCACTTTATTAGAAACACCTACCTTGTACTTGCACTAACTGGCCACTTTATTGGAAACACTTACCTTGTACTTGCACTAACTGGCCACTTTATTGGAAACACTTACCTTGTACTTGCAGTAGCTGGCCACTCTATTAGAAACACCCACTTGTGTTTCCACTAAGTGGCCACTTTATTAGAAACATCTAGCTTGCACTTCTGGCCACTTTATTAGAAACACCTACCTTGCACTTCTGGCCACTTTATCAGAAACATCTACCTTGTGCCTCTGGCCACTTTATTAGAAACACCCACCTTCTCTCTCCACTTACTGGCCACTTTATTAGAAACACCCACCTTGGTTTCCCACTAACTGGCCACTTTATTAGAAACACCTACCTTGCACTTCTGGCCACTTTATCAGAAACACCTACCTTGTGTCTCTGGCCACTTTATTAGAAACACCCACCTTGTACTTCCGTTCACTGTCTCTGATAAAGTGGCCAGGCAGTGTATTTATATATATATATATATATATATGGAAGATTACTGTGGTTAATGTAAGCTGGTGAAGGTGGTTTGTGCTTCCAGTGTATTTTTTATTTTATTTTTTTTTCAAAAGAAATAAAAGTGAATTTTTGGGTACCAGAAGAGGTGACGATGCATGAAAGCTGCATAATGGCGGAGCAGCCGAGTCAAACCAATTTCCCCGAAATGGCATTGTGACGAGACTTTCTCTGAACCAGGACAACTGCGGGCTCTCTGCTTTCCCCCGCACTCCTATTTTCGTGGAGAGATGAGTCCGGCTTAGTGAAAGCGTAAAGAAACAATGGGAAAAAATAGACAGATAGAGAGAGAGAGTGAGAGAGAGAGGTGTGTGTGTGTGTGAGAGAGAGAGGTGACTGAATCAAAGCTGCAAACAGCCCTGCCACTTTTGCCACAGACAGCTATAAAAATACACATATACATATCTAATAAATGCACTTTTGTTCTCTGGGTTGATGCTTCATAATTTATGGAACAGCAACATACAGGCTATTCTAAGTGCAGTGACTCAGGAAAACATATGAAAATACTTTCTTACTTTCTTCCTTTTTCTCTTCTTTCTTCTGACTCTCCATGCAAAATCTAATCTCTATACAATACAGCATAACAAGATAGATAGATTCAGCATATATGCCATATCTGTGTGAAGCCCCTCACTGATTGTTCAGAATTCTCCCATAATTCAATGTGTGAGATGTACACAGAGTGATTCAGAGTGGTTTGGTGTGAAATGGTTCAGATGTCTTTACAGTGGTGGTGATGGGAACCAGGGGTCGCCATGACTACAACACAAATATAGACATTTTATTTACTATCCAGAACCACCAGTGAACCTACATGAGTCTTCTGAGTTTATATGGAATGTTGATGATGGAAAATAGTGGAAAATCTGAAATAATCAGTTTTCTTTGGGGACTATTTTGCCTCACAGCGCCCTGCATGTATCCCTCCACCATGAATGGAGTTTAAGTTCTCTAAACAATCATAAAACAGTGTCTCAGTCATCAGGCAGTGAATTCATAACCATTTCATGTAGGAACTTTCTGTGAGGGAGCTTTTAGAGGTGGACGTCTGGTTCCTATCACCACCACTGTGAACAGTTCTGACTCTAGAACGGAGCGTTTCACACCAAACCACCTTAACCATTCAGACACTTTGAAAAGTTGGTGGAGTTCCCCTGCGAACAGTCAGTTCAGTAACTGATGTGTAAGTTCTGTAGTTCTGAGAGTGAATAGATCCACATACAGACCTTAAAGGGTTAAACCATCATCCGAGGTTTTAATCTGAGCTCGTGTCTCCTAGGAAACGACACGCTGTACTGGGCTGATACGGGATCAAATAAAATCTGCAGAGCGGGTCGGGATCAGACATGGAGGGAGGAGGTGGTGGGCAGCGGAGTGGGCCGTGCTGAGGACCTGGCAGTGGACTGGATCGCAGGTAAATCACCGTTCATTTGCTTTTTCCACCAGCTGTTAAAGCTGGAAGCTTCTGTCCAGGTCATTTTTAAAAGTCCTGAAATTTCTTCTTTGAAACTAAAGCTTCTTATTTCAATTTAAAAAGGGTATAAATAGATCATTTGTCTTTAGGCAGAGTTTCTAAAAGCCTGCAAAGTACTCTCATACATATACCTTTGTGTGAGATAAATACATTTAAGTACACTTTTAAAAAATAAAATTATATATTTTTCATATTTATGTTTAAAAAAACACTTAAATACATACAAAGTGTGTCCATATGTAAAAACATTTTGAATTGTAATTAAGCTATTACTAAATATATATTAAATGCTACACTACAAGTCTACTTGCACTTAAGTATGTCATTTTAGACATAATTGTTATTATACTTGGAGAATATTATAAATATATACTGGATGTACTGATCCACTGCTTCATACTGAGACATATTTTAATATTTCAAAGTACATTCAACAAACAGCATAATAAAATACCATTTAAGATGTGTTTTAAAAGTGAAATCATCTTAAGTCTAGTCTAGCATATAAATATCAAATATTTCTCATTTTTGAGTTGTATATTCCAAGATGATTTAACTTTGGACACTGTTTTGCTTGTTTGTCTTTTTCTTAAGTGGAATATTGGCAGATAGTTATCCACCAATATTGTGAGATAATCTTACTTAATGAAATTGCTTAAAACGAGTAAAAAATTGTCTAAAAATAAGTTCATATTTTTAGCAATCTCTAAAAGAGCAATATTAGATCTATATACTAGATTTATGATTATTTTACTTGACAAGATATTTTCTGCACAGTATATTTTAGATATATTTGCAATTAAATTGCTTTTAGTGTTTAAAATTAAAATTGCTTTTAGTGTTCTCTATAAACTTAATGTATACTGTTGATGTACTTAAGTGTGCTATTTTTTTTTCTTTTTCTCTTTGAATACCTGTAAATACAACCCCAATTCCAAAAAAGTTGGGACGCTGTGTAAAATGTAAATAAGCGTAAATAAAAACATAATTCAATGATTTGTAAATCTCATAGACCCATATTTTATTCACAATAGAACATAGAACACATATCAGATGTTGAAAGTGAGACATTTTACCATTTCATGAAAAACATTAACTCATTTAGAACTTGAGGGCAGCAACGCATCTTAAAAAAATTTGGGACAGGGGCAGCAAAAGGCTGGAAAAGTAAGTGGTACTAATAAAAAAACAGCTGGAGGAGTAATTTGCAACTAGCTTACATGACTGAGTATAAAAAGAGCCATAAGAAGCCATATATAAACAGGATCCAGAAACGCCGCCAACTTCTCTGGGCCAGAGCTCATTTAAAATGGACCAAGGCGAAGTTTTTTGATTAATCAAAATTTGAAATTCTTTTTGTAAATAATGGATACTGTATCCTCCAGAGTAAAGACCTCCCAGCTTTTATTAGCAGACAGTTTAAACGCCAGCATCCGTGATGGTATGGGGGAGCATAAGTGCACATGGCATAGGTGTCTTGCACATCTGTCAAGGCACTACCAATGCTGAACAGTATATAGAGGTTTTAGAGCAAGATATGCTCCCATCCAGACAGCGTCTCTTTCAGAGAAGGCCTTCATATTTCAGCAAGACAATAAACCACATACAGCATCCATCACAACAGCATGGCTTCGCAGAAGAAGAGTCCAGGTGCTGAACTGACCTGCGGTCCAGACCTTTCACCAGTAGAGAACATTTGGCGCATCATGAAACGAAAAATCTGGCAAAGAAGAACCAGGAACTGCTGAGCAGTTAGAATCCTACATCAGACAAGAATGGGACGACATTCCTCTCCCAAAACTCCAGCAGCTGGTCTCCTCACTTCCCAGACGATTACAGACTGTTGTTAAATGAAGAGGCAATGCTACACAATGGTGGACGCGGCCCTGTCCCGACTTTTTTTGAGTTGCGTTGCTGCCATCAAGTTCTGAATGAGTTAATGTTTTTCATGAAATGATAAAATGTCTGACTTTCATCTGATATGTGTTCTATGTTCTGTTGTGAATAAAATATGGGTCTATGAGTTTTGCAGATCATTGCGTTCTGTTTTTATATATATTTATTTACATTTTACACAGCATCCCAACTTTTTTGGAATTGGGGTTGTCTATCACATCTGTAAATATTTTCTGTCTTGTTAAAATTAAAAATTTTACAGTGAAAATCAACAGTTTCCAAAAACTGGTTCCTCTGTAGCTTTGTTAGCTTTGTACTTTTTTATTCCATTGCTGGTTCAGAGTCCTTGTGTCTTTTCCTCTGAAGGTAACCTCTACTGGACGGATCACGGCCTGGACCTGATTGAGGTCTCTCGGCTGAGCGGCGCGTATCGGGCTGCGGTCGTATCTGAAGGGCTTGATCAGCCTCGCGCCATCGCCGTGCACCCACTCAAAGGGTCAGTGTGTTACGGCCGCTGCTCCGCTCTCTAATTCACCTCATACGATTTCTAGGTTTCACTTTGTTTAGTTAAGTATAGTTTAATTTGCCTTATTTGCTTAAATGTGACCCAGTAACACTATTGTTGTATATATATTATATACAGTCAGTGAATGTATATATCATATATATATATCAAATACAGTCAGAGTGTATAAATCATATATATGGTTATGAGCTTATATATCATATATAGTTAATTAGTGTATGTATCATATATACAGTCAATGAGTGTGTATATCAAATATATCATATATAGAGTCAGTGAATGTATATATCATATATATCAAATACAGTCAGTGTATATATCATAAATACGGTTATGAGCTTATATATATATCATATATATATAGTTAATTAGTGTATGTATCATATATAGAGTCAATGAGTGTGTATATCAAATATATCGTATATACAGTCAATGAGTGTATATATCATATACAATTAATGAGCATATATATCATGATATATACAGTCAATTAGTATATTTATCATATATATATATAATTTATTCAGTCTGTGAGTGTATATAGTATATATACAGTTAATATGCATATATATCCTGTAAATCATATATACAATTAATAAGCATATATATCATATATACAGTCAGCTCCTCTGTGATTGTAGCCTCTCACTGTCATTCATTCAGCTGGTGGGTTCTTGTTACCGTGGAGGTTCTTGAGGGGTCTGGAGCTCCACCAGCTTCTGCTTTTGTTAGTTTGCTGCTTGTTGATTTATCCATAGTTCTCCTGTGAGCGTCTGTCCAGCGTGGCCTGCTGAAGGTGCTGAAGGTTTCGCTTTAAAAGACATTTAAAAGCTGTATTTAAATGAGAGATACAGTCACAACTATGGGTCTGAAAGGATGTGTAGCTGTCAGAAAGGACCTCACGGAGAAAAGGAGATGGACACATCAAACAAAGAAGCTGAACGATGGACTGACCACCCCAGAGTCCAGACCTCAACATCACTGAATGTGTTTGATTACTTCAGAAAATGATCAACCAGCTTTTAAGACTGAACTTTGGAGGTGTGGCCAAAATTGCAGTATAATTAGTTGCTGAGGGTCTGAATTCATTGCCAGCAGTTTGAGGATCAGATCCTGGAGTATTAAACACCAGAGACTCTCCACATCAGCACACGGACGCTGAGACATATACGACCCGACTCAGCTGAGCGCTGCTGATGTGCTGCTGGTGTCCTTTGAACCTGTTTCATTAGTGATACTGCTCCATTCACACCGAGCGCTCTCATCTCGTTTATAATGAGGGTCCGCATTCAGGCTTTCTCTCTCACTCATACAAAACTGTTGAATCTGAGACAGCGCGGCTATTTCTGAGCCTCGTCTCGTCTTTTCCCTGCAGACAAGCAAAGGTCAGAAAAATCCTCCGTCTGGGAAATTAATTAGATTTGCTTTTTTTTTGACACATCGCATTTAAAGACATCCAAGATGAGCGTCCCAGTGGAAACGAAGAGGCGCTATTAAACACAGATCTGCCTGTTGTGCTTCGAGGATTCAAACAGCATGATGTGTAATGTGTGTTTGACAAGAACTCTTCAGTATGAACTGCTAAAAATAAAAGTTCCTGAACAGTTTTTGACTCGAATGGGCTTTTCTTTAAAGGAGAATGGAGCGCAGGTGATAGGAACCAGGGGTCGCCATGACGACAACACAAATATAGACATTTTATTTACTATCCAGAACCACCAGTGAACCTACACGAGTCTTCTGAGTCTATATGGAATGTTGATGATGGAAAATAGTGGAAAATCTGAAATAATCAGTTTCCTTTGGGGACTATTTTGCCTCACAGCGCCCTGCACGTATCCCTCCACCATGAATGGAGTTTAAGTTCTCTAAACTATCATAAAACAGTGTCTCAGTCATCAGGCAGTGAATTCATAACCATTTCATGTAGGAACTTTCTGTGAGGGAGCTTTTAGAGGTGGACGTCTGGTTCCTATCACCACCACTGTGAACAGTTCTGACTCGGTAAGTTTATCTAGAACAGAGCGTTTCACACCAAACCACTCAGACCCACTCAGACCCACTCAGACCCACTCTGAACCGCTCTGAACCTCTCTGTTTACATTTTAACCATTTAATTATGCGGACGTTTGATTTGTTTGACACTTTTTAAAGTCTGTGAGTTGTTTTACCTTCAGCCCAAAGCTCGCTCACCTTAGAACTTGATAATTAGATCAGGTCAGTTAGGGTCAATTAAAGCTGGAACTGGTAGGTAGGTCTGCAGGAAGGTAGTTCTCCAGGAGCAGGGATAGTGACCAATGTTAAAATGTGCCCACTACATCTCAGTTGAAGTCTAGTTTCAGTTATTCTATGGTGGTGAGTTCAGGACAGTTAAGAAGAGCCCAGCTGGGATTGTTTAAGAGCAAATGGCTGTTTTGAGGTGGACATCCTTTAACCTTTTGCTGCTTTTCCTCTGCAGGTTCCTGGTCTGGACAGAATGGGGACAAACCCCAAGAATCAGCAGATCCTATCTGGACGGCTCAGAGAAAATAATTCTCGTAAACTCTGGACTGTCCTGGCCCAGCGGAATCTCCATAGACTACCAGGTCCACTCTTTTCTCTACCTTTAAAATAACGTGTAAGACCTTCAACCTGAATATCGAACTACATGAGAGTTCATTTCCAACTGTAACCTCAGACATGCCTTCTCAAAATAAGGGTGGCGCTGAGCGACGTTTGTTTATTTGACGTTTGTTAATGACGCCTTTAGAGGGCGGCGCTGAGCGACGTTTGTTTATTTGACGTTTGTTAATGACGCCTTTAGAGGGCGGCGCTGAGCGACGTTTGTTTATTTGACATTTGTTAATGACGCCTTTAGAGGGCGGCGCTGAGCGACGTTTGTTTATTTGACGTTTGTTAATGACGCCTTTAGAGGGCGGCGCTGAGCGACGTTTGTTTATTTGACGTCTGTTAATGACGCCTTTAGAGGGCGGCGCTGAGCAACGTTTGTTTATTTGACGTTTGTTAATGACGCCTTTAGAGGGCGGCGCTGAGCGATGTTTGTTTATTTGATGTTTGTTTAATGACGCCTTTAGAGGGCGGCGCTGAGCGACGTTTGTTTATTTGACGTCTGTTAATGACGCCTTTAGAGGGCGGCGCTGAGCGACATTTTGTTTATTTGACGTCTGTTAATGACGCCTTTAGAGGGCGGCGCTGAGCGACGTTTGTTTATTTGACGTTTGTTAATGACGCCTTTAGAGGGCGACGCTGAGCGACGTTTGTTTATTCGATGTTTGTTAATGACGCCTTTAGAGGGCGGCGCTGAGCGACGATTGTTTATTCGACGTTTGTTAATGACGCCTTTAGAGGGCGGCGCTGAGCGACGTTTGTTTATTCGACGTTTGTTGATGACGCCTTTAGAGGGCGGCGCTGAGCGACGTTTGTTTATTTGACGTTTGTTACTGACGCCTTTAGAGGGCGGCGCTGAGCGACGTTTGTTAATGACGCCTATCTTATCTGATTTTATTTGTCCGTTGTTTGTTTTTATCACTTTGTTTAGAGTTTTTAAAGTAGTATTATCCAGCTTAGACAGCTAAGGCTAATTCTATTAGCATATGTGCTAGCATCTCCATCTGTCACAGTGATAAATGTGCTGTCGCTCCAGGGGTGGCATTATAGTTCAACTGTACAGGTCAGTAGATCTCCAGGATTTGAAGGGTTGGAAGATGAGATCAAAGCTGAATCTCACTAAAGCTACCAGTCCAGCTCTAGCGCATCCCTATTGATCAGTGGTCAGCCTCAGGGCATTAGCGCCCAGTATGGCTCTGTATTGTTAATGCACTACAGCGATAAAGCAACGCCAACCCCACCTGAAGTTTGCTTTCAAATTGCATTTCAGGAAAACAGATTATACTGGTGCGACGCCCGCACAGACAAGATGGAGCGGATCAGCCTGGAGAGCGGCGCGGAGCGGGAGATTGTTCTGTCAGCCGGCGGAGCCGATATGTTTTCTGTGGCCGTCTTCGGCTCTTACCTCTACTGGTCTGACAGGTAATTTATTTTTTCCATAAACGTTACAGTCTCTTCAAAAGGCTGCCTGAGAAAAGCGCTGGCCTTTCTCTGCGTGGGGATTATCCAGCTCCCGCACAAGGTCACTTTACTAACACTTCAGCCGCACTCATCTGTGTGTGGATCTCTCGGAGCTCAATGTCATCGCATGGGTGGGTGCTTTTCACCTTATGCCTCGCCATATGTCTCCTTCGGTTTAACCCATTCAGACCAGCCGTCCTGTCTTTAGAGCATCCAGACAAAATCTAGACTAAAAGCACAACTTTTCTTGCTGCATTGCTACTCAACCCACCAGACTTTGTTGGGAGTTAGTCAGTATTTATCGACTAATATCTCCAATTTTAGTATGTATAAGCATGTATTGAGGTAGTTAATGGACTAATATCTCCTATTCTAGTGTATATGAGTGTTTATTGAGGATGTTTATGGACTAATATCCCCTATTCTAGTGTATATGAGTGTTTATTGAGGATGTTTATGGACTAATATCCCCTATTCTAGTGTATATGAGTGTTTATTGAGGATGTTTATGGACTAATATCTCTTATTCTAGTGCATAAGACTGTTTATTGAGATTATTTACAGGCTAATATCTCCTAGTTTAGTCTGTAAGAGTATTTATTGCTGTTGTTTATAGACTAATATCTCCTATTGTAGCGTATAGGAATGTTTATTGAGGTCGTTTATGGACTGACATCTCTTATTCTAGTGTATAGCAGCGTTTAATGAGGTCATTTATGGACTAATATTCCCTATTCTAGTGTATATGAGTGTTTATTGAGGTTGTTTATAGACTAATATCTCCTATTCTGGCATATAGAAGTGTTTATTGAGGTCAGTTATGGACTAGTATCTCCTATTCTAGTTTATAGCGTATTTATTGAGGCTGTTTATAGACTAATGTATAGGAGTGTTTGTTGAGGTCAGTTATGGACTAATATCTCCTATAGAGTATTTATTTAGGCTGTTTATAGACTAATATCTCCTAGTGTATAGGAGTGTTTGTTGGGGTTGTTTATGGACTAATATTTCCTATTCTAGCTTATAGAGTGTTTATTGAGGCTGTTTATGGACTAATATCTCCTATTTTAGCATATGAGAGCATGTTGAGTTTGTTTATGGGCTTATATCTCTTTTTGTAGTGTTATAAGAGCATTAATTTGGTTGTCTTTGGAATAATATCTCCTATTTTAGCATATATGAGTTCTTTTTTAGCTTGTTTATGCACTAATATCTCCTATCTTAGCATATAGGAGCGTTTATTCAGGTGGTTTATGGACTGATATCTTCTATTTTAGCATATGGGAGCATTTGTTGAGGTCGTTAATGAACTAATATCTCCTATCCTAGCATATAGAATCATTTATTCAGGTGGTTTATCTCCTATTTTAGTGTAGAGGAGTGTTTATTGAGGTCGCTATGGACTAATATCTCCTATTATAGTGTATATGTGTGTTTATTTAGATTGTTTTTGGACTAATATCTCCTATTTTAGTGTATAGGAGTCCTTATTGAGCTTGCTTATAGACTAATATCTCCTCTTGTAGTGTAGAGGATCGTTTATTGAGTGCTGCCTCTCATTAGCTGAGGTTCAGAGCTCTTATTCTTGATGTTACTGTCAAAAATGATTACATCGTTCCACAAAAACACAAACCTATGCAGAGCAGATTGGCCTTAATGAGGGTTAAAGTACTCTTTTAGTGTAATTAATCAAGCTCCATTAATTAGCCTGTGTTCCTGTGTTGTATATTACAGGAACTATGCTAACGGCTCCATTCGCCGCGGCTCCAAGAACAACGCTTCGGACGCGGTGACGGTCAGGAGCGGCCTGGGAGTGAACCTGAGAGACGTTAAAGTGTTTAACCGAGACCGGGAGAAAGGTTGAGGTTTCACCTAATGCCTTCATTTCCTTTATGTCCGCCTCAGAGCCGTTTTCACACGCTGATAGATGACCCCCATACCAGAGTCCACGCCAGCCCTCATTCATCAAACACGATCAGACTTCACCAAAACGGTGATAAAAATATGATACGTCACGCTCCACTGAGATTTATCAAATGGTGTGCAAATCTCACCTGAGTGTAAAGTGGCGAGGGAACTCTATGATTAATGATCACACTCACACACTCTTTTCCTCTGTTCAAGAAAAAAAGAGGAAAAACTCCTCCTGTGATTTGTAGCCTGTACTTAATCATCGAATTCACATTCACTTTATTTGACAACAAGAGGAAAACGGCGCAAAGGCTGCCGGAAAATTTGCTTATAGCTTCATCTCACAGTTACCATGATGAATTAGAACACCTGCATTGTAGCTCCGCCCACCGACCACTTTATTAAAAAAACTACCTTTTACTTCCACTAACTGGCCACTTTATTAGAAACACCTACTTTGTACTTCTATTAACTGGACACTTTATTAGAAACACCTACTTTGTGCTTCCAATAACTGGCCACTTTATTAGAAACACCTACTTTGTATGTTCACTAACTGGCCACTTTATTAGAAACGTCCACCTTGTGCTTCCACTAACTGGCCACTTTATTAGAAACACCTACTTTGTATGTCCACTAACTGGCCACTTTATCAGAAACACTTGCTTTGTATGTCCACTACCTGGCCACTTTATTAGAAACACCACCTTTGCGCTTCCACCAACTGGCCACTTTATTAGAAACACCTACTTTGTATGTCCACTAACTGGCCACTTTATTAGAAACATCCACCTTGTGCTTCCACTGACTGGCCACTTTATTAGAAACACCTACTTTGTATGTCCACTAACTGGCCACTTTATCAGAAACACTTGCTTTGTATGTCCACTACCTGGCCACTTTATTAGAAACTCCCACCTTGTGCTTCCACTAACTGGCCGCTTTATTAGAAACACCTACTTTGTATGTCCACTACCTGGCCACTTTATTAGAAACATCCACCTTGTGCTTCCACTAACTGGCCACTTTATTAGAAACAACCACCTTGTGCTTCCACTACCTGGCCACTTTATAGAAACACCCACCTTCTACTTCCTGTATCTGGCCACTTTATTAGAAACACCTTTCTTATATCACCTCTGTGTAGGTGTTCAGTTACAGACTGTAGTCCATCTGTTGCTGGACAGTTTATCAGCCCCCTCTACTCAATTCATCATTGGTCAGTTTCTGACCACAGGGCTGCTGTTGTCCAGATATTATGTGGGTGGCAGTTAACTGTCAGCACAGCAGTGACACTGACATGGTAGTGTGTGTGGCGCTGGTGTAGCTGGAGCTTTTACACACGTCAGTGTCACTGTTAGGCTGAGAGTGGACCGTCCCCCCAAAAACATCCAGACACGAGCGACTCTCTGCTCAGAAACTGACCGCTGATGAAGGTGTAGAGGGTGAGGCTGATGTGCAGGTGTGATGAAGTTTCCTCACCTGTCTGTTGGTGCTCTCCTCTCAGGCACTAACCCGTGTGGTCGCAGTAACGGAGGCTGTGAGCAGCTCTGTTTCTATCTGGGGGGGGACCGGAAGTCCTGCTCATGTTCCCATGGTTACCTGGCCGAGGACGGCCTCCACTGCCGCCCGTATGAAGGATACCTGCTCTACTCAGAGCGGACCACCCTGAGGACCGCCCACCTGTGGGACCAAAACTCTCGAAATGCTCCCATCAGGCCCTACGAAAACCCCGCCTACTTTAAAAACATCATCGCTCTGGCCTTCGACTACCGGCAGAAAACCGCCGGAGCTAACCGCGTCTTCTTCAGCGACGTCCATTACGGGAACATTCAGATGATCCACGACGACTGGACTGGACGACGCGTTCTGGCAGAGAGTAAGATCACTAAACTTTACAACTTTAAACTTTACAACTTTATTAGCTTTCATTTTTCTAATTTATGAAAACTGACTAATATCAAATATTCATATAAAACCAGTGCTGTTTTTTTTTGTTTTATTTGGTTTCATTTTTGCTAATTTATGATTAATAAAGTATCTTTATAACAAGTGCAATGTATTATAATGTAGTCTACTTTTTGCAATAAGTTACATTATGTAATTATGTAGTATTACATTATTATCAATATATTACATTACATGAAACATATTACATTATTATAATTATGACTCATTACATACAAGTAATCTATTTATGTATAACAATCCAGGAATATTTAAACGTGTAATGTAAACTTTTGAAAACTTACCATTTGCGACTAATATTGTATATTTACCCCAAAAAGAAAGCATAACATTTGATCATGTGGTACAATTATTTTGAAAAATGAATGATTATTGACTGATATACTCTGAAAAGAATATTAATATTGAGTCATTTACTGTAGTTAATGTTAATATTTTGCTAATTATGAAAGCTTAACAAAACTGCTATGTGGCAGTCCATTAATTTCTTTTTTTTTCCATTAAACTCGTTATTTAAGCAATAAAATGAAAAAATCTTAACTAAAAATCTGTTTGAAGAAAACTTTTGAAATTTTGCACATTTGTGTAAATTAAATAAACATTTTTGTTTGAATATTTTCAGAGAATTCCGTCATGTGATTTTCCGTAATAAACAGATTTGTAATATTTCATTACATGGTTTAAATTTGAGCTAATTTAGCTAATTTTGGCTAACGAGGCCTGAGTCTTCACTGTAGTGAGAGTGCGGTGAGAGTGAGTCCAGCGTAGAGGAGTGATTTCTCTGTTCAGCCTCGTCCCAGAGTGATCAGGTGATTTGTCAGGGTGCGCTGATGTATCGCACCATAACCCTGTCAGGATTACAGCGCTGCGCTCTTAATCAATAGGCGATTAACCTGGGGAGCCGAGCGCTGCCAGCTGCTGCTCGGCCTGATGGATGAGCTGAGCGCCACCGGAGGATCCATCAAACCGAGCCGTACACATACATACAGCCTGAACTTCACTCATAATCACCTCAGAACCAGCCTTATTCACACACTTCACACACGAACACGGATATTAGAGTAAACGACGAATCACTGCTCTTTATTACGGGATACATCCTCACTGTCATAAAACCCCGTATCTCTGAATAACTGCTAACTTTATTGCACTTTTTAGAACTTTAATATGTCGTTCATATGCAAATTATACTCTACAAATCCTGTTTATTTGTTTAGTTTAACCCTTTATTGCATAATGTTGCCTCAGGGCAACAAACCCACATTCAACAGTTTACAATGGCAAAAACAGTTTTACTGACAATAAATGGGTCACCCTATCATTTAGTGGCCATTATATATTTACAAAGTAAAAGTATTTGATTTTTTTGAAGAACGTGGGTTTGTTACCTTGAGGCAACATTATGCAATAGAGGGTTAATATTTTGGGGAGAAAAAAAAACTTTTGAATATGCCATAACTCCATAGATGTCTCCATAGATGATGTGTAACTTATTTACACTTGGAAAATCAACAACAACATGGAATTTGACCAGGGGCGCCCAAACTTTTGCACATGCCTGTACATTACTGGAAAAAAAAAAAAATATTCCCTGCATACATCATGAAATCAAACAGTGCAAAAATGGGATGTTTATTTACCCTAAAAATAACCAAATGAATAAATAACAGTGTTTTAATGTGACAGTAGAAAATACAATATGTTAAATGGGAATAAGTATGGATTTGCAGTGGCTGATGGGAACTGTAGTTCTACTTACAGAGCCATAGTGACCAAACAAAATTATATCTTTGTAATATTTGTCTATTCTAAAGCAGTTTTTATTACTAATATCTGTTACAGTCAACACAGCATGAGCTATACATACTGTTATGTACACTCTTAAAAAAGGTTCTTCAAGGGTTCTTTAGTAAAGACAGTGGTTCTATATAGAACCATGAACACTCAAAGAACCATTTGCATTCTTTGGTGAAATCGTTCTTCAGATTGATGTGTTGTATACAGTTCTATGCAGAACATTTTTGACAATGGTTCTAGATAGTACCTAAAGGGTTCTTCCTCATGCTCTAAGATGGTTCTCCTTTTGAGTCTTGGTTCCTCTCAGTGGTTCTTCCTCATGCTCTAAGAAGGTTCTCCTTGTGAGCCTTGGTTCCTTTCAGTGGTTCCTACTCATGCTTGTACAGAGTATCTTCTTTTTAGTCTTGGTTCCTCTCAGTGGTTCTTACTCATGTTCTCAGGAGTTTTCTCCTTTTAAATCATCCTTTCAATACTTCTTCCTCATGCTCTTCTCTCATGTCACGGTTCTTCTCAGTGGTTCTTTCTCATGCTCTTAGGGAGTTTCTCATTCTGAGTCTTGGTTCCTCTCAAAGGTTCTAGTTTCTCCTTCTGAGTCTTGGTTCCTCTCAGTGGTTCTTCCTCATGCTCTAAGAAGGTTCTGCTTTTGAGTCTTGGTTCATCTCAGTGGTTCTTTCTCATGCTCTAAGAAGGTTCTCCTTGTGAGTCTTGGTTCCTCTCAGTGGTTCCTACTCATGCTTGTACAGAGTTTCTTCTTTTGAGTCTTGGTTCCTCTCAGTGGTTCTTCCTCATGCTCTTAGGGAGTTTCTCATTCTGAGTCTTGGTCCCTCTCAATGGTTCCAATTTCTCCTTCTGAGTCTTGGTTCCTCTCAGTGGTTCTTCCTTATGCTCTTAGGGAGTTTCTCCTTTTGAGTCTTAGTTCATCTCAGTGGTTCCTACTCATGCTTGTACAGAGTTTCTCCTTTTGAGTCTTGGTTCCTCTCAGTGGTTCTTCCTCATGCTCTTAGGGAGTTTCTCCTTTTGAGTCTTGGTTCCTCTCAGTGGTTCTTCCTCATGCTCTTAGACAGTTTCTCGCCCCTCAGTGATGCTCATCTTGGGGCTGCACCCAAATGTTTTTGGACAGTGGCTGTTGGAGAAAGAGCTACTCAGATGAAAGTGAACTGGAGTGAAACAGAGTTGAAGGTCTGCTTTGAGGGTTCTGTCGATGTGTCTCTCATCTCTCTGCACCTCTCAGAACTATCAAAGGCAAACTTGTGCAGCAGTGTTTCCACAGTGCGGTGCAGCGGTCATTAAGTGGTCTTTGCTGTTGTTCTCAGTAACAGGCCTGTCAGGTTCGTATGGGGCTTAAAGCTTTTGTTTCCTATCTGCTCAACGTTTCCCCCAATTTCTAAGGTTAGTGTTGACAAGCTGGCTCTGTTCAGTCAGGCGGAACTCGCTCGAGCCCTGATCTCCTCTCCTCACTCCTCCTACCTGCTCCTGTCAGCAGCTGACAGGCCAAAGCCAGAGCCCGCCGTCCACCACTTCCTGTGAGGCGAGCCAAGCTTCCTCCGCTCTTCTCCTTTTCATTTCATTCCCTGTAGTGCGATTACAATATCAATACAATACAATATGGTTTAATATTCCAGAGTCATAATTCATTTCACAGGACCGTTTTCTAATGTCTCTTTATCGAAACTGATTGTGTAACTGTTCAAAATGTATGTAAATGACTTTGTTCTGATTCGCTGCTTCAGTTCAAAAAGCAGCCAGAAAGACTCCTTATAACTTCAATTCAAATGGGTGGAGCTAAACTGCTGTAGACTGAATGGTGGAGCTAAACTGCTGTAGCTGAATGGGTGGAGCTAAACTGCTGTAGCTGAATGGTGGAGCTAAACTGCTGTAGCTGAATGGTGGAGCTAAACTGCTGTAGCTGAATGGGTGGAGCTAAACTGCTGTAGCTGAATGGGTGGAGCTAAACTGCTGTAGCTGAATGGTGGAGCTAAACTGCTGTAGGCAGTGTATTTAACGGTGAAGGCTGCATCGTGGAGTGAATCTTCAGTGCTGTATCCTGTGTTTGTAGAGCTCTGCGAGCTGGTTTTGAAGCTGAGTTATTGACGACGTGTCAGACTCTCTTGTTCTTCTGTTCTCATCCTCCTCTCCAGCTGAAAAGGAGCAGCACAGAGAGAAAATCAACAACATCAACAGCAAAGTCAACACAAACATGATGCCGCAGGTGGAGCTTTAGCTGGGCTTTAGTGGATTTGCTGCTGGTTCTGTTGGAGAGTAGAGCAGATTCACCAGCCGTGTAGATCTCTGAACCTCTCAGTGATGACTTCACGATGGTGATTCTTTAGGAAACCTCACCTTCTGCCACGATCTGTGTGACGTTTGAAATCATTTGTCATATAAATAAACTGTTATTTTATGCAGTTATCACTTATACAGTGTAGATTGAAATACTAAAAGTCTTAAGTTGTATGCAAAAATTTTGGCGCCCATATTCAAATGATGTTTTTTTTGATTTTCTAAGTGTAAATAAGTCAACCTGTACAGAAAACACATTTTAATCACTGTTTATTTGCTGAATTTAACACAGTAAGTGTGTTTACATGCATTTAATGATCTGATAAATGCAGAAAATCAGATTTGTCAGTCATCCGATCAATGCGTTTACATGCACTTGAGTAATCAGATAATGGGGAAACTCCAGGTCTACATGAGTCAGACAGTAATCAGATTGCTGCTTTACAACCAGCCAATAAACTCACAGAAGAAGACGTGACGTAAACGTAACGTAAAACTCAAACTTCATGTCGCAGCTTTTTTCAAACCTCTCACCGCTTTACCTGAAAATGTGATCATACATCGTCTAGAAGATGAAGAATATTTAAATCCTTCATTTTGTCAAGCATGTATTTGGTTTCAGCGTCGCTCCAAAAGTGTTATGCTGCATCTCGCAGCGTCGCTGCTCACTTATTTCCGGTACCGCCGTCTGTTTTCACACATGCTCAGACTGAGAAATCCGAAAGAAATCAGAGTAAGAGTTCACATACACTGAGAAATCTGATTACTGAGCTAAAATCCAGCCTCTTTATCGGATTTCTTAATCAGATTTCTAGACCTAAGAAATCAGAGTATGCTGTTTACATGACTATTTGAATAATCAGATAACTGCAGAAATCTGATTATGATCAGATGATTGAGTGCATGTAAACACACTCATTATGAGGAAAATAAATAAAATTGGGCGTGTGCAAAAACTTTTCCCAGCAAGTAGTAGAAATTGTGAACTAAAAATTTGCAGTAAATGCCGTATTTAAGTTTGGAGGATGTGTTCAATCAAAATCAACAAAATGTAATTTGATAAGGGGTGCCTAAACCTTTGCATGCAACTGTTAGCTAGAGCCAGAAGGCCTTATTTAAAATTTTTACCGAAAAGTTTAATAAATGATCAGTAAAGTACCATAAATATCTTTGTAAAGTCATTTTTTGATGAGTTATCTTCCTCTAGATCTGATAACCACTTTGAAATGTAAGCATTATGGATATTAATTTTATTAGAACTTCATTATTAGTGATTAATTAACAACACTACTGTTGTCTGATTTATATTCTTCCTGTGGTTATTATTTTTCTGCCAGATTTTTGTCCACTAACTCGTCACCAACTCTGGAATGTTTGGTCTGAACAGGAATGGTGTGCTTGTACGCAGTTTTTCGATCCGACATTCGGTTTTCATACAATCTTCGTTAAATTAATTTTTTTTTCCCATAGAAATGAATGGGATAAAAAAATCAACGTCCATCTACTGTACTTCTGAAAAATCGAAAGACACCATTTCACATGTACTATCTCAGGGCAGACCCCTGAGCATGAATTCAATGTTGTTCTGACCCGCACTCGTCTGTTTGTCTTTTTTTTTCTCTCATAGAGACCCATTCATTTCTGCCCCCACACAAGCCCTATTATTTCTTTGCCCGACAGCCACCAAACTGCATGTATTCACTCAGGGCAGGTCCTCAAACTCTACTGCACAGCCAACCTGACCTGCACTCCTCTATGTGTCCCTTATTCCTCTCATAGACTCCCATTCATTTTCAACAACAGATAGCTACCACTTGGCAACCCTCTAAAGACCACCCAGTCAACAACCCATACAACTGCTTAGCAACACCTTAGCAACTGTGCAACCACTCTGCATTTTCTTCAGGAAATGCACTATTCTAGTTGATATTAAACAGCTTCTTTAGTTGTTATGGGCGGGGCTAAACACTAATGAAGCAGTTTAGCCCCACCCACAGCTCTGTTCATTGTCCTAGGCACTTTTAAAATTCCTTGAATTTTATTTATATCATACTAATGTCATAAAGATCATCAGAAAACTGTGACGTTGTGACAGGACAAGCAAATTAGAATCAGGAAAACATATTTAACAGAAAATTGCCAAATATACCAAAATATAGAAAATAAACCAAATATATCAAACCAAATATAATATCATTTTTTTTTTCAGTATTAATGTAATTATTCCAGCTTCCATTCTTCTCAGGAGACTCACTTTCAGGTCCTCAAAGAATCTGCAGACACACCTCCAAAGTTCAGTCTTAGAAGCTGGTTGATCATTTTCTGAAGTAATCAAACACATTCAGTGGTGTTGAGGTCTGGACTCTGGGGTGGTCAGTCCATCGTTCAGCTTCTTTGTTTGATGTGTCCGTCTCCTTTTCTCAGTGAGGTTCTTCTTGATCAGCTACACATCCTTTCAGACCCACAGTGCTGAGTCGTCTTCTCACAGTGGAAGGATGGACAGAAACACCTGTGGATGTTTTCAGATCTGATCAGCTTGATTTTCTCCTCTCTCTCAGAGATGAAAGCTTTAAGTGCTGTTTATCTGATGGGGCGGTTTTGGGGTCGACCAGCTCTTCCAGGTGGTTGCTAGGACACACATTTTCTCTGTAGCTGCATGTGGAATATCTTACATCTGATCTCCTCACGGATATCTCCTGAAAACTAAATAACTTGGTACTTAACGGCTGTTTTGACTGGACGTTTATGACTGAAGGGGCTCTGCTGAGGCCTAAAAGCAGTTTGATCATGTTGTGCTGCAGTAAGTCTCCCCCTCTCGCTGGCTCGGTGAGTGAGACAGCTCTGGTGCGTGCAGCATCACGTTGTTCATTTCGGCTCACAGCTGGACGCCGTGCCTCCTGCCTGGCCTCGTTACACTCAATCCCACCACCCCTCACCACCCCTCTGTTCTCCTCCCCGCCAGTTTCATCAGCCTGCACACCAGGAGCACGGCGGCATTACAGCTGGATCTCCTCACGAACTCTGAGCACCGCACACGTTTACTATGCGCTCTCATACGGCGTCATTCTTCATCCACTTTGGCTTTGATAATAAAGAATCTCATTACTCCACCATAAGGACAGCGTTAAAGGGATAGTTTGGTGAAAAATCAAACCTAACCAGTTTCCTCCCTTTCCATAAATGTAGTCCATCAGCCACGACATGTTTGGTGTCTGATGTTCGCTTCTTTACTTTAAGGCTCAGTGTTTCGCCAGGTACGTTCGCTTCATTTCAATGGAATTAGCCGTGATGCAGCAGTTTCTGACGTCTGGAGTGAACAATTTTTGCGTATGACACTTCACATCAAGTTCAATTTTGGGGAAGCTTGATGTGAATTTACAATAGCTCTGCTGTGTTGACCTCTGAAGGGGCGGGGCTTCATACAGCAGCACTAAAGTTCCAAAATATAGCAGCTAATTTTGGTAGCAGTCAGATAGTTCTGACCTCTGATACAGTCTCTCTTTTTTAAATTAATTGTTGGGTTGGTTGGATTTTTTTAGTACTGAAAAAATGTTTGGAATTATTTTAAAAAGTGTCACAAAATCCATGTACAAAATGTAAAAAAGTGCTGCATTACATAAAATGCTTTTTAAATTCATTTGAATTTAAATAACTTTTTAAGTTATGTAAAATAATAGTAAATTATATATATATATATATATATATATATAATGTATTTATTATTCATTATAATTATTTATATACTATTTTAACTAGATACTGTATTAGATCTTACAACAACTTTTGAGTTTTTACTATTTGTGTTTAGCAAACTAGGTTTATGACTGGTTAGCTGCTTGGCTAAGTGCAGCACTGTTCTCTCAGAGTTTGTAAATATCTGGTATAACTGTTCCCTCTATGTTTTACTGTTTATGTTGAGTGAGTTACACAACACTATTGTAGCTACCGGTCTCAACTTCAGGTGCTGCTGCTGTGTTCAGCTATGCTAATGTACTTCAATCCATGTTTATAGATAACAGTCAGTCACACAGTGTCAGAAACCACAGTATCGAGTCTATTAGAGGCACTAAACTCAGTAATCACATGCCGTTAGCATGATGCTAATTGGTGGGATTTAAGCTTCCATTACGTGTTAGCTACATTAGCCTTGTAGCTCCAGTGCTAAAGCTGTAGAAGGAAACTTCAGACACAAACATGTCTTAGCTGATCGACTGTGAAGGGGTAAATGAGGGGAAGTTGAGTTCTTGCTGAACCATCGCTTTAATGTTCTTGTTGTGGTAAATATCAGATGATGTGGATCAGATTAGCGGCAGGTGGAGACGTCCTGCCCTTCTGTCTCACTGTATCACGCAGTGACGGGTTCACTGGTATCGGCAGGTCGAGTCGATCAGGCTGAAGGTTTATTGACTTAATCCAGTCATTAATTCACAACCTGTTTGGCCTTTACAGACAGTCTGACACTGTCATGTCTGAACTCTGCCTCCCTTCAGCTTTAATCTCCGTCTCCGTTACTGTTTGCTTGGTTTTATTATTATTATTTTTAGTATATTGTTTTTAATTTTTTGTTTTATTATTTTATTTTTAAAAATATATCAGTATTTTATTGAGTGAATTAAATATTTTAAATGTTACATTAATTTGTGAAATTATTTATAAAATATTAAATAGAAAAATACACAATTTAAAAATGTACATAGAAAGTATTTTATTTACAAAAAATAAATAATATATTTAAGACAAAATAACTTTTAAAAATAAATACAAAACTAATGTTCAACAAAAAATGAACATTAATTAAAATGTAAAAAATATTCCACATATTTAAAAAAAAAGTTTTTATTTATTTTGTTTTACATGATTTAAATGTTTATATCAAACTTAAAACTAGATAAAAATAGATTTAATGACCACAGGTTCTGCCTCTACACTTCTTTGTTTCTAAGTGAGTCTTTCTGAAAGTGTTTCTGAATAATGGCGATAACTATGTAATAAAGTGCTTATTAACATCTAATAAAGCTGTGCTGTTGTGTGCTGTGTGCAGATGTTGGCTCGGTGGAGGGTTTGGCGTATCACCGTGGCTGGGACACGCTGTACTGGACGAGTTCCACCACGGCCACCATCACGCGTCACAGCGTGGACCAGAGCAGACGGGACGCGTTCAACCTGGACACGGTCATCCGCATGGCCGAGGATGACCACCCGCACGTCCTGGCGCTGGACGAGTGTCAAAAGTGAGTGATTTTTATAAAGTGCAGTGTTTTAATCCCTTAAACTTAGATTTAAGATTCTTATTCAGCGGCTAATCTTAAAGCAGCTCTGCGCTGATTTCAGCCTCTCTGTCTGTAGTTACTGTAGCAGGCGCTGAGAGGACTTTCTGTAGTTTTTATTGTTTTTATTTGGTTTGTTTTCATCTCCATGATACTTCATCTGTTGAATTTACTGAGCAGTGTTGTTGAGTCATTGGTGAGGATTCTCTTTAATCTCCTTCTCTTCTTTGTACTTTGTGCTGTGTAAATAAATGTGACCTGACTTCTTTTCTTTTCTGAGTAACTCATCAAAGCCAGTCATTGTCCATAACAATAAATGTTGTAATGTAGCAGAGAGAGTTCAGGTTAAAAGGTGCTGGCGTTTTCCTTTAAGACTTATTATTCAGTAGTTATTATGAATTATTAGCTAATCCCAATGAATTATTCAATAACTACTATGACTTATTCACTAACTAATATAATTTATTCAGTATCTAGTATGAATTGTTTAGTAACTACTATGAATAATTCATTAATCACTATGAATTACTAATAACCACTATGAATTATTATTTATCTACTATGAATCATTCAATAACCACTATGAATCACTCATAACCACTTGGAATTATTCTATATCTGCTAGGAATCTTTTAGTAACCACTTTGAATCACTCATAACCACTATGAATTATTCTTTATCTGCTATGAATCATTCAGTTACCACTATGAATCATTCAATAACCACTATGAATCACTCATAACCAGTACGAATTAATCTGTATCTACTATGAATCATTCAATACCCACCGTGAATCACTCATAACCACCATACATTATTCTGTATTTACTACAAATCGTTCAATAACCACTATGAATCACTTATAACCACTATGAATATTCTGTATCTACTATGAATCATTCAGTAAGCACTTTTAATTTTTTTATAACCGCAATTAATTTTTCTGTATCTACTATGAATTATTCATACAACTATAAATTATTCTGCATCTGTTATGAATTATTCTGTATCTACTGTACAATTTTCAGTAACTACTATGATTTTTTCAGTATCCACTATTATTTTTTTTCCTGACGACTATGAATTGTTTAGCACCTATTATAGATTGTTCAGCATCTACAATACATTATTAACTCAGCACTATTAGTTATTCACTAACGATTATGAATTATTCTGTATCTGCTGTCACTTATTCACTCACTGCTATGCCTTATTCAGTGTCTCCTCTGGATTATTCAGTGTCTACTATGACACTAAAGTTCTGTAGGTGGGGGGGGGGCTGAAGTGTGGACCCTCATACAGAGCCTTAGAGTTCAAAGGTAAACCATAACTTGCAAAACAAAGTAAAATATCTGAGATGTGCTGTATATCCTGCTGTATTTTGGTTCCTGTAGATGGTTTTGCAGACAGAATGTAATCAAATCTATGAAATACTCGAACCCGACTCTCCGCTTTTCACACCTTCCAGCCCTCGTTTCAGTGCTGGAGCTCCATCTTTCTCTCCCGAGCTGAAGAGCATAAATCTCCTCCAAATTACCAGCGGCTGAAATTGTGGTTTTGAAATATGTCTCTCGCAGAGGTCAATTAAGAAAGAGATCCACTAATTACGGCGCAGTAATTAGATTCGATACCACATACGGCGCATTCATTTCTCAGCGGCGAATTCCGCGCTTAATAAAAGCTCAGAATTCGGAACGCCGTGACCTGCGATGGATGGCGAGTCGCGGCGGAGGCGTAAATAAAGCAAACCTTTTCGGCTCCGGCGGCCTTTTCACTCCCTCAGAGCACTTAATTAAGGGCCCTTCGTTAGGTTTTCTTACAGCATAATTTCAGATGCTCCTATTCATTTGCCGACTGGGGCTTTGATCTTGTTTGATGGCGGTTTGTTTAATGCCTTAATCTATGATCCGAGTATGTTTTTGTCTATAAAGTGTAGTGTTGTGGGGGGTATTCATCTTAGAGAGAAGTTAGCCCTGTGCTAACTTGAACCGGTGATTAAAACCGAGACCGTTCTCTGTGTTGCGTATCTGTGGGTGGGGACTGTTTTGGCACCTGCAAATGATGGATTTTAGCGCTAATTAGTTTGAACTGCCTACACTTCAGCGGAGTTGTTAGCAGAGCTGGAAGTCAAGCCTGCTAGCCGCTTCGCTTTCTGTCCGCGGTGGGGAAAAAAGACAGCCCGTTCCCAGTGGACCGTTTTGCTGTGACAGCATTAATAAGAGAGCGTGTGCTACCAGCCACCGTGTTAGCGCGCTACTCTGTTCATGCTAGCCGGGGGCTGCCAGAATCACCGCTAGCGATCGCACCGTCTCGCTGGTGTCTAACACTCTGAGGTGCCGTCACACAAAGGCCCAGCATGCTCACTTTTTGGATAAAGCCAAGATGAGTCAGGACAGCGTTAGCAGAGGCGAGGCTAACGTTACGCTTTGAGAAAAAGATCTGAAAGAGGCTTGACTGTGCATGTTATTCAGAGCCAAGACGAATCCCAGCACTTATTACAAAGCCTAAAGCTGTTATTTAGATCTTTGTTCCAGATTTGATATGGAGAAAGTGAGATCTGATAGCGTTTAGCTGGAACCCTGAATGCATTAAACCGTTCCTCTATTGTGCTCAGAAATCCTCCAACCTTTTGAAGGCATGAATGCATTAAAAAGCAGCTTTAGAGACGACGTGTGATGTATAGATCTTCACAGTGTAGCTAGGCGAGATAATAGCAGGGCGACAATGCTAAGCCGTCAAGACTGAGACGAATCAATTTTCTTCTGTCATGTTTGAAAATGAACTTATGCTGTTTTTCCCAGCCTGATGTTTTGGACGAACTGGAACGAGAAAAGGCCGAGCATCCTGAGATCGACCCTTACGGGAAGAAACATCCGGCTCATCGTTAGCGAACGCATCCTCACGCCTAATGGACTCACCATTGACCACCGGGCCGAGAAGCTGTACTTCTCCGACGGCAGCCTGGGCTCGCTGGAGAGATGTGATTATGACGGTTCGCACAGATACGTGAGTATCCGGCGCTCCTTTCGAGTGCATTAGCAGCGAGCATTAGCTCTGAATGGCAAATGTTCAGGCGTCTTAAGGCTTTTGTAGAATGTTGTTTTGCAAAGAGAGATAAAGCAATAAAAGGGTTCAAGTCTGAGGCTCTTCCATTGAACGTCCAAGGCTGAAAAGAAGCCGCCAGGATCGCTAATGTCTGACCATTAATGAAACCGAACTGGAGTGGAAATTTGCCCTCTCGCTGCTGAGAGTGGGGGCTTTTCAGACGATCGCTGTGCACATTCTGAACTTTTCACATCTCACAGCTCCACAGGTTCAGGTTTGCTAAATGCATGAGCATCCATTAGGAAGATGTCCAAACACAGCGGACACAGAGTTCACGGCAACATGAACCGCCCAGCTGAAGCGTAAAATACATATTAGATAACACTTTGTTGTCGGTTGTCATAGAAATTCTAATAATCATCAGATAAAAATACAAACGTTATAAAAATACAACTACACACTTAAAAAAGACAGATGGTTCTATGGTTTTTTAGTTAAAACAGTGGCTCTGTTTAGAACCATTCATCCTTAAATGCAACAACCTAGCAACCATCTGAAACACTAGCTCAGCAAGCACCCAAACAACCACCTAGGAACACTGCAGCAACAACCTAGCAACCATCTGAAACACTAGCTCAGCAAGCACCCAAACAACCACCTAGGAACACTGCAGCAAGAACCTAGTAACCACATGAAACAGTAGTTCTGCAAGCACCTAAAATGCCATAGCAACCACGTAGGAACACCTTAGCAACAACCTAGCAACCATCTGAAACACTAGCTCAGCAAGCCCCTAAAATGACATAGCACCCACGTAGGAACACTTTAGCAACAACCTAGCAACCATCTGAAACACTAGCTCAGCAAGCCCCTAAAATGACATAGCAACCATGTAGGAACACCTTAGCAACAACCTAGCAACGATCTGAAACACTAGCTCAGCAAGCACCCAAACAACCACCTAGGAACACTGTAGCAAGAACCTAGTAACCACATGAAACAGTAGTTCAGCAAGCACCTAAAATGCCATAGCAACCACGTAGGAACACCTTAGCAACAACCTAGCAACCATCTGAAACACTAGCTCAGCAAGCCCCTAAAATGCCATAGCAACCACGTAGGAACATCTTAGCAACAACCTAGCAACCATCTAGCATCATTCTAGCAATCCTAGCAACCCCTCACTCTGCATTTCCTTCAAGAAATGCACTTTTCTCCACACTTAAAAAAGGTGGTTCTTCAAGGCTTAGCAAAAGCAATGGATCTATTTAGAACCATGAGTCCTGTATAGAACCATTTCATGCTTATTGGTTCTTTGCATGGTAAAATGTGTTGAAAATGGTTCTATCTAGAACATTTCTGGAAAAAAGCGTTCTTCTGTTGTTACTATGTCTTTTTTTTTTCATTTTTAGGTGCTTGCTGAGCTAGTGTTTCAGATGGTTGCTAAGGTGTTCCTCAGTGGTTGCTAAGGTATTTTAGGTGCATGCTGAGCTAGTGTTTCAGATGGCTGCTAAGGTGTTCCTTGGTGGTTGCTAAGGTATTTTAGGTGCATGCTGAGCTAGTGTTTCAGATGATTGCTAGGTTGTTGCCAAGGTGTTCCTTGGTGGTTGCTATGGTGCTTGCTAAGCTAGTGTTTCAGATGGTTGCTAGGTTGTTGCCAAGGTGTTCCTAGGTGGTTGCTAAGGTATTTTAGGTGCCTGCTAAGCTAGTGTTCCAGGTTGCTAGGTCATTGCTAAGGTGTTCCTAGGTGGTTTGTAAGGTATTTTAGGTGCCTGCTGAGCTAGTGTTCCAGGTTGCTAGGTCATTGCTAAGGTGTTCCTAGGTGGTTTCTATGGTATTTTAGGTGTTTGCTAAGCTAGTGTTTCAGATGATTGCTAGGTTGTTGCCAAGGTGTTCCTAGGTGGTTGCTATGGTATTTTAGGTGCCTGCTAAGCTAGTGTTCCAGGTTGCTAGGTCATTGCTAAGGTGTTCCTAGGTGGTTTCTAAGCTAGTGTTTCAGGTGGTTGCTTGGTCATGTCTAGGCACTTGGTATGGCACCTCTGGTGGTTGTTATCCGATTGTTGTGGCATCCCAGATTGTTGCTAGGGTGCTGTTATGTGGTTGCAATGATATCCCACAGTTTCTTTGGGGTGGGTTTTTGGGGTCTGTTTTGACATGTTTTTGTTCTTGTTAGCTGGTGAATACAGAAGGAAGGCACTTAGCTAACATTAGTGAAAGGAAGCTGAACACCTTGCAGTCACATAACTGTAGTGTCTGTCTTCAAATCACCCTTACAGTGGAGAAAATGGATTACGCAAATATCAGAAATGAAGCTAAAGGCTAATATTAGCTAACATGCTACCTGGCTATCTAGATGCATCAGCTTAGCTCCTTTTCTTTGGCTGAAAGGCTAAAACTCATTTCTCGTCTCATTTTCTGCTAAATAGAGACAGAATAACTGTTTTCTGTTTGGTTTGTGCTCGACTGAAGGAGGAGCTACACTAATGCTAGTTTGGTTGTATTTATTTGCCTTTAGCTCAGTGGCTAAGCTAGCAGTCAGGACTGGTTGGCACCACTGCATAATTGATTGGTAAGATGTAAATAGAGCAGTTCAGAGTGGTTTGGTGTGAAACGCTCTGTTCTAGATAAACTTACCGAGTCAGAACTGTTCACAGTGGTGGTGATAGGAACCAGACGTCCACCTCTAAAAGCTCCCTCACAGAAAGTTCCTACATGAAATGGTTATGAATTCACTGCCTGATGACTGAGACACTGTTTTATGATAGTTTAGAGAACTTAAACTCCATTCACGGTGGAGGGATACATGCAGGGTGCTGTGAGGCAAAATAGTCCCCAAAGAAAACTTATTATTTCAGATTTTCCACTATTTTCCATCATCAACATTCCATATAAACTCAGAAGACTCGTGTAGGTTCACTGGTGGTTCTGGATAGTAAATAAAATGCCTATATTTGTGTTGTAGTCATGGCGACCCCTGGTTCCTCTCACCACCACACTTTCACCACCACTCTCTCCTGAAAAGCTCCCCTTTTGGAGATGCGATTTAGGCAGACAGCGATGTGTTAATGCTCACTGCCACAAGCTGGTGTAGTGAACTGGGAACCAGTGCCTGATGAAAGGCTTCACTGTTGTTCGTAGCTCCAGGTTGTCTTTGAGAGCCTTTCAGCCCTTTATCACTGCAGTTGCACGCTGGCGTTTTGGGCTCCCAGCAGCCGGCACCCCACGAACGGGCTTTAATGGTGTCCAGTGTGCTAATCAAACGACCTGCCATCTTCCCAATTAAACAGTGAGAATTGTTCTGGGGCGAGACGGCCGGTGAGAGAGGCCGAGTCAGTGTTAATGTGAGGTGGGGAGATCTTGGCAGGCTGGTCTTCAGGAGGTCTGCAGATCCACTGGAGATCCTGTTGCTCCTGTTGCTCCCGTTAATCTCCCTCAGCAGGTTCAGGAAGCTGCCATGAGCCACTAGCGCTCTGCTCTCTCCACCTGCCTGCTGGTTAACCTGCTGGAGCTGAGCAGCATCAGAGCTTCATTTCCATCCATTTCTTACTGGCACTCTTATTCAGAATTAGGCTTGAGGGGCATTTATTGTGGAAAAATTAATACATTTTACACTTTTTTATAGAAATAAGAGTCTGATATTGTAAATCAGCATCAAAATTTTAACACATGCACTTTTCGGGTGCCCTCCTGATGCTGCTGCTGCTGCATAAACTCAAACTATCTAATTACCCGTTGCTCCACCTGCTTTTCCCCGTTTTGTATTCCAATATTTTATTCTGATGTTGTTTGCTATCCGGTGTGGTCCAGAGGAGGATGGGCTCCCCTTTTGAGTCTTGGTTCCTCTCAAGGTTTCTTCCTCTTGCTCAGTTTTTCGTTGCCACTGTCGCCATTGGTGACGCTCGTGGGGGCTCGGACCCCCACAAGCTGCTTTGTGACAACACCTGTTGTAAAAAATGCTTTATAAATAAACTTTGACTTGACTTTTAGCAAAAAAGGTTCTAAGTAGTATTGCAACAACATTGGAACCCTATTTGGTGCAATTAAAAAAGAATTGAATACAGCTGGTTTTCTATCATAACAAATTATTTAACTATGTAAAAAACATTTATACATTCAAACACTTCTTTCAGTATTTATGGTTCTATAAAGAACCCTTTTCTTTACTGAAGAACCCCTGAGGAACCATATTTTAGGAGTGCACCACTCAGTTCCTGGGTCCATACTGTCCACAAAGGGACACTATGCTGCAAAAACAGAGGTTTTTTGTGATGTCACTAAAATCAACACATATACATACATGTGCAAAAGTTTGTGCACCCCTGGACAAATTCCATGTTTTGTTGATTTTCTAAGGGGAAATTTGACCAGGGTGCACAAACTTTTGCATACGACTGTGATATCATTCAGCCTACAGCAGCTTAGCTCCGCCCATTTACACTGAAGTTATAAAGAGTGTTTAAGCATGGACTGGTTCTTTAAGGGTTCTTTAATAAAGACAGTGGTTCTATATAGAACCATGGACACTCAAAGAGCCGTTTGCATGATGGTGAAAAGGTTCTTCAGACTGATGAACAATGTGTTGTAAATGGTTCTCTATAGAACCCTTTTGAAAAGGGTTCTTTTATTGTTGCAACGTCAAGCTTATAAAAATAGCAGAACCCCTTTAGTGCTATATAGAACAATATACAACACATTCTCCATCAATCTGAAGAACCTTTTCTGTGCAGTGCTAATTGGTGGGGTATGAGCTTGCGTTACTTGTTAGCTACATTAGCCTCGTAGCTCCAGTGCTAAAACTAAAGAATAGAACTTCAGACACCGAACATGTCTTGGCTGATGGACTTTATTTGGGACAACAGGGGAAAATGGGGGAATTAGAGTTATGGCCAAACTATCGCTTTAACGCTCAATGACCTCTACATAAAGTGGTGACCCTCACGGTCATTCACAGAGTGACTGAGTGGGGTGATGATGCTGTCACTGATGCAGCTCACTCACTCACTCACTCTCTCACTTACCCACTCACTCACTCACCCATTCACTTACTCACTCACTCACTCACTCACCCTCTCACTCACCCATTCACTCACTCACTCACTTACCCACTCACTCACTCACACATTCACTCACTCACTTACTCACTTACTCACTCACTCACTCACTCACTTATTCTCCCACTCACCCATTCACTCACCCATTCACTCACTCACTCACTCTCTCACTCACCCATTCACTCACTCAGTCACTCACTCACTCACTCACTCTCTCACTTACCCACTCACTCACTCACTCACCCTCTCACTCACCCATTCACTCACTCACTCACTTACCCACTCACTCACTCACACATTCACTCACTCACTCACTCACTCACTCACTCACTCACTTATTCTCCCACTCACCCATTCACTCACTCACTCACTCACTCTCTCACTCACCCATTCACTCACTCACTCACTCACTCACTCACTCACTCACTCTCTCACTTACCCACTCACTCACTCACTCACCCTCTCACTCACCCATTCACTCACTCACTCACTTACCCACTCACACATTCACTCACTCACTCACTCTCTCACTTACCCACTCACTCACTCACTCACCCTCTCACTCACCCATTCACTCACTCACTCACTTACCCACTCACACATTCACTCACTCACTCACTCACTCACTCACTCACTCACTCTCTCACTTACCCACTCACTCACTCACTCACCCTCTCACTCACCCATTCACTCACTCACTCACTTACCCACTCACTCACTCACCCATTCACTCACTCACTCACTCACACATTCACTCACTCACTCACTCACTCACTCACTTATTCTCCTACTCACCCACTCACTCACTTACTCGCTCACTCACTCACTCACTCACTCACTCACCCATTCACTCACTCACACATTCACTCACTCACTCACTTATTCACTCACTCACCCACTCACTCACTTACTCGCTCACTCACTCACTCACTCACTCACTCACTCACCCATTCACTCACTCACACATTCACTCACTCACTCACTTATTCACTCACTCACTCACTCACTCACTCACTCACTCACTCACTCACTCACTCACTCACCCTTTCACCCATTCACTCACTCACTAACTCACTCACTCACCCATTCACTCACTCACTCACTCACACATTCACTCACTCACTCACTCACTCTCTCACTTACCCACTCACTCACTCACCCATTCACCCATTCACTCACTCACTTATTCTCCTACTCACCCACTCACTCACTTACTCGCTCACTCACTCACTTACTCACTCACTTACTCACTCACTCACTCACTCACCCATTCACTCACTCACACATTCACTCACTCACTCACTCACTCACTCTCTCACTTACCCACTCACTCACTCACTCACTCACTCACCCTTTCACCCATTCACTCACTCACTCACTCACCCACTCACTCACTCACACATTCACTCACTCACTCACTCACTCACTCACTCTCTCACTTACCCACTCACTCACTCACTCACCCTTTCACCCATTCACTCACTCACTCACTCACCCACTCACTCACTCACACATTCACTCACTCACTCACTCTCTCACTTACCCACTCACTCACTCACCCATTCACCCATTCACTCACTCACTCACTTATTCTCCTACTCACCCACTCACTCACTTACTCGCTCACTCACTCACTTACTCACTCACTCACTCACTCACTCACTCACTCACCCATTCACTCACTCACACATTCACTCACTCACTCACTTACTCACTTACTCACTCACTCACTCACTCACTCACTCACTTATTCTCCCATTCACCCATTCACTCACTCACTCACTCACCCACTCACTCACTCAGTCAGTTACCCACTCACTTACTCATTCAGGCAGAGACATTTATAAAACAGACAAAGGGAGAGTGAGAAACAGAGAGATAAACAGAGAGGGGGTCATATATATATGAGAGAGAGAGAGAGAGAGAGAGGGTGAGAGAGAGGGTGAGTGAGTGAGTCATTCGTCAGGTGCTGTGTGACACTGTAATGATGTGAAAATGCTCTCCAGAGCAAAATGGACCAAAAAGGTTAATGGACCAAAGAACCCCCAGATTGTGTGATGTCACAACCATGCTGTCCCCCTCAGTGTATTTCACTCACTGCGACTGACGTTTCGCCCTTCGCAGTCCAGCCTGGTGATAAATTCGTGCTGTAGTTTCGTATGAATCGTCTCTGACTCGTGGCGTTTTAGCCAGGTGGAGGCGCCGCGTGGGCAGTGCGGAGTGTAAACTCTGAGTTAGCGTTAGAGACCAGCGGAGGAGATTTTATTACGATGTGAATCTGATGGAGGGTTATTGCTCTGTGAGGCTTCCTCTACAGAGATGAGCTTTTCTGCCCACAGGCCGAGCTTAATCTTTTATAATGTGGTCAGTAATGGACGATGCGGTGAGTGTAGTTTGACAGGGCGGTTCCCCCGGCGACCGGCGACAGCCTGAATCCCACACACACTCCACACCTGCTATCTTAACACACACACTCTCACTCATGCTGGTCACTCACACTCAGTCTCCTAATGGACGTGGCTGATGTTTGCAGTGGTCATTTTTAGGCCTGAGCTTGTTTTATTCATTGTCCATATCCGAACAGCAGGGGGCCGGCATCATGAATTAAAGAAGTGTAGAGTCTGAATAAATAAACTGTTAAAAAGTGCAAAAACAGCATCAATTATACAAGAAAAGATCAATCAATATTCAAGATTCCTCCTCTGAAAGTTTGTGTTTTCTCTCTGTTGGGACTCTCGCACTGCAGTCGTCCGACGTGATGTTTTTGACTAAATAAAAAAACAATCACTGTAAAATTACAACAAATTACTGAAGACTACTGTCATTACTTTACGGTAATTTACTGTAACGAATGGACAATATATTTCATTTTAGCAGACATAAAATATATATTACAGTAAATTCAAATAAACAACACAATGTTTGTCAACAAGAGCTCTATAATGTTCATATGATCCACACAGTCATTCTGACAGACTGTAGTACACTACAGGAAGTGTAGGGGGCGATATGGCTTCTACTGTTTCATTTAAAAAGCCTCTATAATGTTCATATGATCCACACAGTCACTCTGACAGACTGTAATACACTACAGGAAGTGTAGGGGGCGATATGGCTTCTACTGTTTCATTTAAAAAGCCTCTATAATGTTCATATGATCCACACAGTCACTCTGACAGACTGTAATACACTACAGGAAGTGTAGGGGGCGATGTGGCTTCTACTGTTTCATTTAAAAAGCTCTATAATGTTCATATGATCCACACAGTCACTCTGACAGACTGTAATACACTACAGGAAGCGTAGGGGGCGATATGGCTTCTACTGTTTCATTTAAAAAGCTTTATAATGTTCATATGATCCACACAGTCACTCTGACAGACTGTAATACACTACAGGAAGTGTAGGGGGCGATATGGCTTCTACTACTGTTTCATTTAAAAAGCCTCTATAATGTTCATATGATCCACACAGTCACTCTGACAGACTGTAATACACTACAGGAAGTGTAGGGGGCGATATGGCTTCTACTGTTTCATTTAAAAAGCTCTACAATGTTCATATGATCCACACAGTCACTCTGACAGACTGTAATACACTACAGGAAGTGTAGGGGGCGATATGGCTTCTACTGTTTCAT